ATATACGAGGGTCAACGCGCTGAGTCCTTGCTTTTCATCGTCGATTCCACTAGGCAGTCGCATCCAGTTGTCCCCGTTCTTTTTGAACAACGTCTGTTGGACGCACCATACAGTATCGTCCATCGTGACATCCGGGACAAAACCGAGTTCATTTCCGAAAATTACGTTTGATTTGGAATGTAAAGATAAACCGCAAAATGGTCACACCCTTGTTTAATCTATCAAAAGGTCAAAAATCATCGCTGCTTAGCAGCCTGTATACATTAACGTCTTTGGTCCTCCAGTATTTCATGTCTCCCCGTGACGATCGATCGCTTCATTGAACCGTTTGAAGCGTAACCACCGAAGCGGTCTCGAGAATATTTGCTGGACGTCGAGTTGCATCTCACGGTTGTAGATCGACTGTGATAATCGACTGTGGCCATCAATTTGAAAGTGGTTGCTTTGCTGAAAAACTCCATACCTTAGTACATCACCATTGCCGTACATCTTGCTTACTAGACAAAAGTCTTACCAATGGTTCTTCTGCGTATTTACTGATCAACTTTGATCTACTTTACATCCAACCACTGGTCGACTTGAAGACAGTTACTGTACAGCCAGAGGAAGCTCCAGGCACGACGCTTATTTTGCTATTCAAGTTGCTTTTCAAATGGGTTGTTCCCCTTCGATAGACACCGTAGAAAAAAATCTCGAAGATTTTTAACTCCTGCTCTCCACCAATGTAAATGCGTCTTTGTACTTACGCATGGTCACTGACGTCTACCAGGACGTCCTTATAACGGCATTTCAAGATATTTCAAAAGAAAGATCACGTGCTTAATGTGTATTGCTTTGGCAAAGGCGAGAGTGCATCCGCCGTCCACTTTAAATCTGCTTATCACAATTTTTGCCAGACGTCCATTCACAAGAATTCCTTCTAGTCTTCCACCCAGTCCTTGGTTGTTAGTGATTCCAACAGCAGTTCCAATCAGCCCATTGTAGTACTTCCAACCTCACGTTCTGGACGCGGCGCGTACTGGCCGAAGGGTTTCTTCGAAGTGTGGCGATGTACAGAGCAGTGATTTTTCAAACCGAACAAACAAATAATATATGTCTGCGGCTGTTTATTTTGTTTATTTAGAAGTCCGCTACCATTACGTGATTCGGGTAAGTACGTAATTCTACCTTGTATTGGTCCTCACTCGCTTTCGTTTCAATTCGAATCGAGTGTTTCCGTCAAGTACCGGAGTAGTGCATGTGGCATAACACCGCAAAACAGAAGTCTCTGTCTCAGTATTTTGTTTCGCTCCCAAACGTTCTGCCAACGTCCCGCCCCAAACTTTTAAACAGTTTTCACTTACTGTTCAAATGCCGTTAAAAAAAGATATTCAAATGGGAGTTCGCTAGGAACCATAGATATCAGTGATTATCGTTATGAGGCATTTAAGAATTGTCATTCCAATAGCAAGCTGACCGGGTAGGAGCTGACAATGCGTAAGCCAGACCAAACTACAGGCAAATATCTGTTAATTGAGATAAAATAGTTGCTGTCCCACTACCCTTCTAGGAGGAACTGTTTAGCTGTTGTGACACAAAAAGACTCTTGGCCTCTGAAGTTGTGTATTATACCATCTCCCGTATAGGTTATGTTAAACATGGGACCACCAACACGTATACTCATTTGCACGACTAACGTACATTCACACACATTGGGTAGCAGTACGTTGTCATTAACCTGATGGCACTTCCTCCATAGTGCGTAAACACTATTCCGGTAGTCATTTCTGGTTTGTCGTCTTCCTGGCGTTGTGAGTAGTTTACTACTCACAAACGACGTTGCCTGTTACACAACATAGCTAGTCGGAGATCTCACTAACCTACCTATGGTATGATACGTAAAGTAGTTCCAAAACTTACCGTTCCATAGTGCACCTGGGTTATTAAAAGGTTCATATGATGTATGGGGATCACTTGTTTGTTCGGAAGTCACGTCAGCAGGTGGCACGAATCCAAGAATCAAACACTTATTTTAGTCGTTTGCTGACGACTAGTCTCTAATATACCTAGTTAGTAATCTATGTCACTACTCTTTTGCACCATTACACGGGAATATACAAATATATTGTTTACGAAAGAATTAGTCATCATGCTCAACGACCATTTCACATTGCATCTGGCTTCTTGCAGGTCTGTGAATTGCAACTTGCACCAAATTAGCCTCGATATCTATGGATTTGACGTTATAAAAACTATTGAACATATTTGTGATCATACTGAGACCAGCCAAGCGGACGTCGACATTCTTGTCGGCAAACTAAAGGGGTTATTATTCTGTACCTCAAACACCAATGCACCCCCTTGCCCGTAGACACCATCAAGTCCATACCAGAAACAAATGAATCAAGTCACTTTCTCTACATCTGCAATCTGTACAGGCGCTACATAAACGATATATTTTATCTGGCAAAGCTTACCAACGACACATACACTCTGTTGAGTGATTTTAATTGTGCTCATCCCAACGTCAAGTTCGTCATCAATGCACAAGAGAATAGCAGTCTATCATGCCTATGTATTGTCATGCTTCGTAGATTACAGAGATAGGCTCAAAGAATAATTCATGTTGAACACAACATACATTGGTCAATGAACACATTTTTCAACACTGTTTCTTTGGAGTACAAGCGGAACTTGCCTGATTGGCTAACAGGTAAAACAGAAGTTTTTCTCACCAGATGCCTTACAAGGGGAAATTCATCAGGTTAGAAACAAACTTAATCGATACCGATATCTCCATATATTTCTAACTAGAAACATACAGTAAAAACGAAACGTGAAATCATCCAAACATCGAGTGGGAAGCTTACTGTTATCATTATCGTTCAACGATGAAGTTACTGATGCAATTATCAACAGCCGAATTTCAAAGGCATCATACTGCAGGGATCATCGAATTGATTATTACCTCCAAGCTTGCTTAAGATTTACTTCGTTATTTTGTGCTTATTCTCTCATCTGTTGTTGCCAAACCTGTTGCACTGAGACAATAGCCAGGCAGTTATCTTACATACTCCCCGAAATGGCTTTGCAACTGTGGCAGCAAGCTCATTTCCAACATGAACGGATCCCATTCGATCGGCATTGTCCATCAACTAAGGAAGGTGGACCATTTTGAATCATCTACAAGGGTAATCAAACTCACTCTAGAACCACCAAAAGTTGGAAATCTCCGGATGGTAAGATTTGATTCTGAGGATTGTTCGTCTTTAATCTTTGTATGCAACGCAAGTAAGAGCTGTTTGGAAATCCATGGTTAGAAAAACAGCAAGCCAAATTAGTTAGGAATGAGAAGGAAGACTAATTCTAGTCAACTAGTACCTCAACAGAACGGACAGTCAATAATACGGAAAATCCCACCAGAGTCCTACTCTTGAAGAAACCGAACTGCTTTTCGGAGCAGCACTGTCGTCGCAAACAGAAAGCTCCGCCATTAATCGAAACAACGACTACCATAACACATCTGAGTAGGACGTTGTTAAGAATAGCATACAGTCCGCTGTGTACAAAGCATTGCACATCCGAGTGGGATGGCGTCGAGTTTGGATCGACATCTCCAATAACAATCGTACATGCTTGCAGATAGATACTGATTATTGGGTGATCCCTAGGAGAATAACATTCCTTGGTAGTCTCAACAACACAACCGTTGTCAACAGCAGAGTTTACGGACACACTACTCTACACCCGACGCATGTGCGTATAGAAGCAGTTCTTACACACCTTATACCTCTCATGGCCAGTCATTCTGGAGGCATATGCATCCCGACCAACGGTAATCCACTCGACGTCGACGGATGCTTGTCACTAGATTGGCGCATACATTTACAAACACTTCCACCCACCTCCGGTAGACAGCGACCCATCCCATTTCTTCGAATTTAATGACTTGTATAACACACTCTCATTTTCACATATAATTCGTGTGTATATTATATGATTGTAACGACCTAACGAGAAGAACCGATAACAGGTGTTTTGAAACCTGGATTCTTGAGTCCAAAAGGTCATCAGTACTAATGATCCGTTTATTTTTACAGAATGTGATGTACATTGTACGGAAGTAGACCGTGAGGAAAAGAACACTCATGTTCCTTTATTGGTAGTTTTGATATTACCCAACTGCTCATTAGAAGAATAGTCATTTAGCAAGAGATTAGCCTCCATAAGTCGAGTTAGTCTCCTAGACTGAGTACACTGTGAAACACACAGTCGGCGTCTGGAGACTAGACAAGGCGGCGGCTAATCAGCCACAATGTACTTACAGTTCGGATGTTTGTTTACAAGGTGTGGGCATAGTATTGTATCGTTATAAAAATGACACCCAATACTTCTTCCTCAGTT